TCAAAATATTCCGAGAAATGCGCATTTAAAGCCCTAACAATATGTCAATATATCTATTCATTTTGTAATAAATGATGTTGAAAGATGCACAGAAAAAGGTTCCATTTCCAGCGAGTCAATGACCTTAAGAATTAAGAACCCTTCCTGGCTTGCACTACAAGTCTACAATGGCAACATTTCCAGCATTCTAGAACATAAAAAATAGCTTCAATGTTTTTTTCATAAAAAAAAAAAAAAAAAAAAAAAAAAAGCAAACGTTCCCTAGTGCTCCATTGCCTCAAATTTTGTAATCCCAAGCAGAATAAGATATCCTTTGGAATAAAACCAGCAAACTTCCACCACAAACTTTTACCAAATAAAAAACTTATCCTGAAACACGGTGCGACTTCCTATTCTTTCCTAGGCCTAATTACTTGGAATTTACCTAGGCCTAAGTACTTGGAATATGCTTGCTTCCACCATCTTTAAGCAAAGAAATAAGCTTTTCTTCCATTCACACTAACGGCGCGTGTTCCCTCTCAAAGCTCCCTCCTTTTCCCGTTTCTCCTCCATTTTAATCCCAATTAGTTACTTCCCTCGTTTTCTCCATTTTGTACATGAAATTAAGATTATCTTTGTCATCATCACGCAAAACCCATTTCAGGCCACAGGTTGAGTAACACAACATACTAATTTAATTTTGTTTTAGGGGATAAGGTGTCTTGTTAGTCATGGTTTTTAGTGCTCTGTCTCTGGCATAACTTCTTCCCAAGAAACCATTTTTTTCTGAATTTTTTTCTTGTGCCCCACCATTGCATTGTCGAGGTGTTTCAGTTTCTCATTCAAGTTCCAAGTTCAATAATCTTGCCGACGATGAATCCAATGATTCTTTCTTGGTTTCTGGAATCGACATTTTTTATATAATTTCTTCTATGCTTATATCTGTGCAGCAGTTGTCAACTCTGGTCTAGGTAGTTGGGTTTTGGATTCTGTAGGAAATCAATGGAGGGGAGCTTGTTTGATGTTAAATCTCTTTCCATGTCCCAAGTTGCCTTCATGGGAAGAACATGTTGGAGCCATTTTTCTGAAGTTGGTGTCAAAATCAGACTACCGTTCTTTTCTGGCAGAGGTAATATCGGATACCCAAATTTTCTTTTGGTTTCCTGCATTTTCTTGGCCATCCAAACATACCATGCTTGGAAAGTTCTGATCCAATCCAAAATTTGTGTTTCAGGGGTATTGCCAAAGGCTTTCTCTTATTCAGGAACTTCAAGTAATGCTTACGTATCAAAGAAAGCTGTTTGTTCTATTAATGAAGAAAAATTTTCAACAGGAAATTACATAGATCAGATAAATGGAAAGAAATCAAGTTTGTTCTCAAGGAATATGAAGGCACTTCATGCCATTGATGATGAGTTTGGAGGACTTGTAGTTGATCCAGAGAGATTGCCAGCTGATCCAAATGCCTTTGCTTCAATGCTCCGGTCCTCTCTTTCTCATTGGAAAGCAAAGGTAATTTCTTCATCTAGAATTAAGTCCTATACATGCATACAGCAGGCAGTATTTGATAGCATATTCTAGAGTCCTAGACTGGATTACTTGTTTTGGAAACTAGTAGCCTAGCAAGATATTTGGTTCAATAGAATACTAATATCGTATGTATATGTTGAAATTAACCAGAAACTTTAGGACATTGACCAACTTAAATTCAGCAAACTGATTTCAAGTCCTGGTCAAAAAAAAAAAAACCTAAAATAAATTCATCAAACTGCAGGAAAAGAAGGGAGTTTGGCTTAAGTTGCCAGTGGAAAGGTCAGACCTTGTCCCAGTTGCTGTAAAGGTATCTTCATCATGAGACACTGAAAACACACACACATATTAATTGCTTTACTCATTTGTTGTGTCAAATGGAAGTAGAGGAGAGCTTAGAGTTCACCAAATTATTTCTATTGATGTCAGGAAGGGTTTGAATATCACCATGCGGAGCGAGCATATGTGATGTTAACTTACTGGCTTCCTGGAGGACCCTGCATGCTTCCTGCGAATGCTACCCATCAAGTAGGAGTAGGAGGTTTTGTCATCAATGACAACAATGAGGTATGTGTGCTTGTTTACTTAATAAATCTGCCAAATTTAAACTGAACCAAGTTCCATTTTCAGCTACAATGTTGTTGTGATTGTCAACTGAAGAGTACTGCATCCCTGAAATTCACAATGATCAATTGCAGGTTCTTGTAGTACAAGAGAAATACTGTTCTCCAGCATCTGCTGGTCTCTGGAAAATACCAACTGGTTTCATTCTTGAGGTAAGGTATATCTTTGCATTTTGACCTCAATGTTTTAGATGCTCAAAACAAAAAGAAGACAGCTTACAATTGATAATTATGTTTTGGTATCTCAGTCTGAGGAGATTTACACGGGAGCTGTTAGAGAAGTCAAGGAGGAAACTGGGGTAAGAATTTTGCACTTGAAACATTGAATATGAGGTTTTATCTCAATCATGTTGATATAATCAACTTTATTCTCTTGCCGAGTAGTTTGATTAGCTAATATGGCCATCACACTAACATTGGCTGCACTCGTTTTGTATTGCAGATCGATACTGAGTTTGTTGAAGTCATAGCATTCAGGTATATATTCATCCTGGAGTAAATCATGCTTTCTGATTTACTGGTCAGATTCCTGATACATGTGTCTTAACTTTTCAATTCCAGGCATGTACACAATGCGGCCTTTGAAAAGTCAGATTTGTTCTTCATCTGTATGCTGAACCCTCTATCAACTCAGATTATGATCGATGACCATGAAATTCAAGCTGCCAAGGTAAGAATTTCATCTATCTGTTCAATGACATAACTTTTCCATTTGGACTTGTCAATATAACCTTTTATTGGTCATTATACAGTGGATGCCATTAGTTGAGTTTGTAGAGCAACCTCTCATCCAAGAAGACTCCATGTTCAAGAAAGTGATTGATATCTGTGTTGCTCGCTTGCATAAACGTTACTGTGGATTACATCCTCATAAACTAGTCTCTGCCTTTGATGGCAAGTTAATTTCACTGTACTACAATGTCACCCATTCCCAAGAGGCCAACTGTGTAAGCAACTGAAGCCATTCAAGTCCAACCCATCGCTGCCCTTACATTATATGACCCGCTCCGGTAACTTCTCCTGCCTGAAAATTGGCTTGACGGTTTGAGTAACTACCATTCTTGCAGAGATTTGCAGCTGATTCATGACATATAATTATACAAATAACTTTCATTTGTAAAATGCATCTTCGAGTGTAAAAAATGTGGCTCCTGTACTTGGATGACAATCACATTTATATATTACTGAATGTCTCATGTAACGTTAGAGTTCGTCTCTCAAACCGTTCTTAAGATCTGCAATAATATTCCCCAATGGCAGGGGGCAGGGGTAGGGATGGTAATTTTCTTTGCGACCAGTGGAGCTTCATGGATTTTCTGCCACGGGAATAAAGATTATGAGAATATTCCTTCCCATGGGGAAAGGATGAAGGCATTTTTTCTCGTGAAATTTTGTAGAGAATTTCTTCTGTTTCAAATAAATAAATAAATTTATTTATATATTTTGTTAAATATATCAATACTTAATTATTACTTACTCAACCTAATTAATTGATCAATCTTCTTCTTTTTTTTTCCAAACCCAATTATATAATCCAGTTTAGCCCATAATCTTCTTAAACTTAATTACCAAGCCCAACCCAATTTGCATTATCTTTTTAAACTTAATTGTCCAAGTCCAACCCAATTTGCTAGGAACTCTAAAACTAGAATGATTATTTCAAATTTTTGAGATTTGTGAATCTGCTCTGACATTCCTCCTCTTCAGACTCCAATCTCCTCTCCTTTGTGTTGTAACTCATTGGCTTTGTTTCCCTTCAACCTATCATTCTCGGCAACCTTCAAAAGATAGTGCCATAGCTCTATTTCTATTCTTTAATCGACTACTTGCAACTTGACTGAGCCTAAGTTACGAGTATTTGTGAGTATATAAATATATATGCTTTATGATTTATTTTGAAGTGAAGCAAATTTCATTCTTTTGGCCTTATAATTTTCGATTTCATTTTCCCTCCAATTGTTCACAAGATTATCAAAATGCGATTTTTATTGTTTACATGCATACGCAACTTCAATAATCATATTGTTATTTTGAGATTCATTCAAATTCTTAATTCATTCTATCTTTAGTTAATTTCTCAAACAAGAAACAAATATCAAGTTTTATTTGGTGAAAACTTTGAATACTTGCAAAGATCTATTATTTCCTACAGAAATTGAAATTGGAGACTATTTTTTATTTTGCACTAAAAATTTTAATGAGGATTCTCATATCCACCATTGACAAGATAAGGATGAGGATGGAGATGGGGATGAAAAGGATCCCGCTCCCATAGGGACCTGTTACCCTCCCTAGGCAGGGGTGGAGCCTGGATGGAGACTACTTAGTTAAGAAGGATCCTGTTGGCACGTTGTGCTGTCACAGATTTTTCTATCCCTCAGGCAGCCCCAATAGGAGAAAATCCACAATGTCAGCAACGTGTAGCTGGGATGATTTTGAGAGTCAGCCATGGACTTAAATGAATTAAGGTTAAAAAAAAAGGAATTGTCTTTTGTTAAAAAAATAAACG